TTTCTACATATAATGACGTGTGTGAAGAGCTGAAATAAGTGTGAAGAAGAATAGTTTTAAAAATTCTAGCATATACAAAATACATTATACGGCTGAAAAGAACCTGCTGAATAAAGTACAGTAAATGTATATTAAAAGAGCCAAATTTAAAAAGTCTTGACGTCTGTACTATAGTATTACTCATGTCAGTCAGACGAGACAAGAGAGAAGATTAAAGGGCAGGAGAACTGAAACGTCAAAGTTCAAACAGGCCTATGGGAAGTGACCCTTTGCGATCTTCCACTTCCATTTTTGCCCTGCTGTGAACGTGCACTGTCTGCCAAACAAGGCCTGCATTGTATGTGCGTACTGCCTTTTTAATGGTGGCGCCAAGTCCACGGTGGCACAGCTGTGGTCCCTCTGATCAGCATCTGAGGAGTATCGGTTATAAACGCAGCGCTCCCCACCAGCGTGCTGCATTCACAGATGAATGGATAACTGACTTTCTCAAGTGCGAACAACTCAGAATTTAAAAGAATCTCAGATTTAAACACACATCATGTCATCATCAGCCCAACGGTTTATCCACGGAGGCCTGCCTTCATCAGTGTGGGCGTATAACGTGCAGAGTGCTCGCCTTCCATCAGCGTCAACCAGCCGTGGACGGGCCTTGGAAAAGACGCAGCATCTGGCAGAGATGAGTGGGCAGAGACTAGCAGAGCCCCCCAGCCCCATCTATTGTGGTCATGGCTGAGTGCAGGCCGGGGCTAGACCTCATGGGGTCCTGCATAGCTGCAGGACCTTCGGCAGAGTGAGACGGGGTTATCACAGGCAGGACAGGATTGAAAATAAAAGAATGAGTCATTGTTATTTTTATCCTTAAGGTAAAAACGCTCCTTTTTTTGGGTCACATTTCAGAATGCAGAAATTGGAAGTGACTGGCTCTGAAATGTTGATGATCGCATTCATTGCAGTTAAAAACAGAATAGCACACATGTAGTAAACAGACAGCTTTATTCTGGTGAGCTTAAAGCAAATTTAGACTGTGGTTCTGCCGGATGGAAAAACATATTTTTACACTGAAGAATTGAGAGCGGTCCAAAGAGGTTATGACACGGCTTCTGCATTTATGAAGGAAACTTTTTGTTTCACAACGACTGGAGGAAGAATGAGCACAGAGCAAAGCTGCTTCCCTTGGAATAACTTTTCCATATGAGACATTCTGACTTTTATACCAAAAAATAAAAAATAAAAAAATAAATCCCTGAGAGGGAAGATTGCACGGATGTTTGAAGGATGGTCTAGTTCTTCACAGCCCTCAGCGCAGGCATCTGAAGCTCTTCAGGGCAAGGACATCAGAGAAGTTTTGCATCCTCCCGGCTCCTCCCCCTGGCAAGTGTGTGTGTGTGTGTGTGTGTGTGTGTGTGGTCTCCTGCTGCTGCCCTGCAGATCTAGCTTTTAAAGGTCAAGGGGTCAATGCTGGGTACTGGAATGTTTACGTTTTCTGCTCCTGTTACCGCCAAAATCCGTAGTGCTACGCCCTGCTCTCCTGGGGAAAAAAATTCKGCTTATCTTTGAAAAAGTATGAAAAAAAAACACACTTTCAAATTATGTGATTCTGGGAAGATTGAAAAAAAAAGCACATTTGGGGAAAAAAGTAAAGATACGCTACTCTAAACATTTCAGTTTTCTTTTTTTTTGAATCTATCAGTAGTTTTATGAGTGATGCACTTTATTTTAGCAGAAAAGTACAGTAGTTGAGAGGCATCCACGCACTAACAGATTAAACAAAACGACACGAAAGTTTAAAATATCGCATCAGGTTTGACCCCTTACGTTTTCAAGGTTTGACCAAACTGGTGTGCCCCCTTTTTTACGCATTTATTTGGGCTGAAGCATAAATCAAAGCATGGGAAAATAGGTCTGGACAGCGTCCAGTTTTATTCTTCCTGCTGCCCACCACAATCACACAGCTGGTGATTTTTGACCGTGGCACTCATGTTCAAGCTTTGTGCCAGCAAACGACTCCTCACACACACCTCTCCCACCCTCACCACCCCATTTTTTTTTTTTTTGCAAAACTGCATTTAGAGAAATGGCTGTTTGTTCATGATCCATAAAAAAGAGGAGTTGCGAAATGTGGCTATGAAAATAAAAGAAAACGCTGTAGCTGTTTGGGGAGTGGTCTGGACATTTTTGAAGCGGGGCTCACAGAGTTCTGTGTGTGGGAAGGAGAGAAGAAGCCAAGCCAAAGGGCGGTGAGACCGTGTGTATATATATACGTACACACACATACATTTCTGTATATCATTCCTTTCCTCCCCATCCCCCCAGTTATTTTACTTCCCCTCTCTTTCTGTTTTAACCCCCTCCCCACCACCTTCTCTTCCTCTGTGCCCCCACCCCATTCACCAGCAGGTTGTATAATACTTTCCAGATTTCGGCATGCCTTCAGTCTCCTGGAAGAGGTGCAAGTCTGCTGATGGAATTTTGGCGGAAAAAGTTGTGGGCCCAGACCCGGGCCTCCTGACATTAGAAATCTGAAGTTACCGAGCGCCTCCTTTCGGTGCTTCCAGTAACAAAAATAAGAACGTGAAAGAAAAGGAAAGGCTGAAAAGCAACAGGAAATGACTTTTGACAGCCTCAGAGGTTTAGATGAGACTTTATACAGGGGGTGTTTGAGTGAAAGAAACAGCTGCGAGGCAAGGCTCAAATTACAATGGCTTTGAATTGGGGGAGGGAGGTGAAATAAGCCCCCTGAACAAATCAGGAGTGGGGCAACTTAAACAGTTTTTGTCCCACGCCAACTCATGTTTCAAAATGTGCCTTTAGTGCACCGTTATACTTTTATCCACCTTTAAATAAAATGAGATTTACAAAAATAAAAAAGACTTTTCTTTGGAAGTTATGCTATAAAAAGCACCTTTTCCCAGTTTGGAGCTTCACATTTGAATGAGAATTACTCTGACACACCCATTGAAGGGCAAATCCTCTTACAACCACTAGATGGCAGTAAGTGACAGGCTTCCTGAGTCATGTTTGGCTCCTGAAGGAGGCAAAACCAGCCAAAAACACCAGACAAATATGTAATTCAATTACAAGAAGTAATGTAAAAGCAAGATTTTCTTAAATCAAATACAAAACCTGTGCCTACACAAGGTTTTCTTCTCTAAACAAAACAAAATACCAACAATCTATTAAAAGAATAATGACGTTGTAGAGGCAGAGAAACAGAGGATCAATAGCAGCATTGGTTTGTATTGACCACAACAATCGATATAAATGGGCTGTTTTACCACAAGTGTAAGAATAATGACTATTTCTAGCCCTCTGGCAGATTGGACACTAAAATAATGCGACTATGACAAACTGAAAGAGATTTAAGACTTCTCGGAAACAAAGACAAAAGACTGAAATCAACAATCCAAAGAGGAATTGAACAGATTTAACATGAAGCGATGGGAGAAACCTTGGACTGCGTTAAAGGGATGCCTGATTAGTTGTAACATTAGACTTTATTTGATAAAAATACATTTTAACTATAAATAAAGACTGTAAAAATACTGTAGGCTATTTGGTTTTGTAAATTTTTAAAAATATATTTTAACATGGATGGAGCCATTTTATTTACACACAAAGCATTCTGGGTAAATGATGACCTGGATAGGTCATTGGTGTGAGTGAGCTATATCCACCCTGAAGGTTAATCTTGGACAATATCTGATGATCGACTCTTTTAAATGAAACCAGAGAGCGTTGACAGAGAGGAGAAGGTAGAAATGACTCAGCCTGGAACTGAAAATATAGATGGAGGACAACAGAGCTGCTTCATGGAAGAAGAACTCAGCTTAGCCTGTTAGTATTTGCGCTAGCGCCAATGCTATATTGCCTTATATGTATTAGCTTGGCGCTAGCACGACAAACAAACAAGCTAAACTGAGGTCCTCCGTCTATATTTTCAGTTGCAGGCTGAGTAATTTTTGTGTTCCCCTCTCTGTCATGTGGATGGAGGACCTCAGTGACGAGAGGAGATTGTGTAGCATTGAGCTAATACATATATATGGGGCTAAAGCTAACAGGCTAAGCTGAGGTTCTTCTTCCATGAAGCAGCTCTGTTGTCCTCCATCCATATTTTCAGTTACAGGCTGAGTCATTTCTACCTTCTCCTCTCTGTCAACGCTCTCTGGTTTCATTMAAAAGAGTCYATCATCAGATATTGTCCAAGATTAASCTTCAGGGTGGATATAGCTCGCTAGCAGCSTCYCACRYAGGACCTATCCWCGTCATCATTTACCCAGAATGCTTTGVYTGTAAATAAAATGGCCCTGTCAGTGTAATATATTTTTTAACTTTTAGTTTAAAAATTATAAAAACTAAACAGCCTACAGTATTTTTACAGTCTTTGTTTTACAGTTAAAATATATGTTTATCAAATAAAGTCTAATGTTACAACTAATCGGGGAACCCTTTAAGAAAACATAAAGGGAGCTGAACTTTAACGAAGCTGCACGAGGCTTTGCTGTGGTGTGGGAGAAGCCAAAAGGATGGCTTGGAAAATTAGAAGTGACAGAACACTTTTGAGTCCATGATGATGAGTAGGATCATGATCCGAGTTGAATGTTGGGCTCATCCATCTTCCAACCGGCGGGGTGAGAAGAATTACCTGTCACCCATYTTTATCAGTGCAGCTTTGTGATAAGGTATCCATCCGCCAGCCTCAGTGCATCTTTGATGAAGACAGTTAAGCCTTTTGGACGGCCCGCCCCCTCTCCCTCACACTGTTTTTATCATGACTCGTCACATTGTTCTCAGGTTGTGCACTTAGGTTGTGCACTTAAAAAATTATAAATCTACTAAAGCCTCTATTGCTTCCTTCCTTCCTTCCTCTTCAGGGAGAGCCAAAGAATAGAGACAGGAAGCACAAGGCAGCACTCCAGGATTTGCTTTGTCAGGACGGCTGACTGAGTGGCACTTCATWAAGTCGACACTTTCTCCAGCTACAATAAAATTTACAACCATAATGATACTCAAGATTTTATTTTATTGAAAAATATAGGTCATTTTAGATATTACAGGAAAAAAAAAAAGATTGGGAATACACTGTAACAGTGAAACAGTGAGGCATAATAAAAGCATAAAAAACACCTCACTCACACAAACCTTTGAAACCACCAGACTATAATGTGTAGTGTGTCAGCTGTAAATATCCAGTTACGCAAACTTATTCTTCACCTCCTATTCTTGGGTATGGTACTTTAAAAAAAACTTTTTATTATTTTTTTAACATACAAGTCTAACTGTTCAACAGTGAATAAACAGACACAAGTGAAAAGAAAATTGGACATTTCACACGTGAAACGACTTTTGGCCTGGAAAATTAGCATATAGCACATCTGTCAGTTTAAGTTAAGGCAGTCAAATCAATCAGCGCCAAGGAAGTCTCATGGATTTAATGATGCAAGAGGTAGAGTCAAGCTGCAATGACAGTGCAACTTACAAAAACAGAAAAGAAAACCGCAATCTTGCCTTAATGCTCTTGCATCTAATGCCGGCTGTGTCGTGTTTTTGATCTGCTGTTCAAACGAACAGACAAAGAAACTGAAAGAGAGATTTTCTAGGATGAAAAAAAGAAAGAAAAACAGAAATTAAACAACAAACAGTGTCTGGTTTACTTTATCTGCCAGTACATTTGAGTTAGAAACAAACAAAATCTACTCATATGTAGTGATGAAAACAGTTTCCATAAGGCAGCCGTCTTGACTGAGTATCAGTTTTTCTGTGGCACAGCAGTTCTTCGGATGTAAAAAAGGGGAAGGGTGTTAACAAGGGCTAATCAGTTTAAACATAAAACAAAAAAAGAAGCTGAACTGTGTGTCTGTTGACAGAAATGTTCAAAAAGTAAACAGTTTATTAGGAAAAAAAAGATAAACAGACAACTGTGTGACACTCTCCCCACCTCTGGTTTCTTCTGATAACACATTTCTTTATAGCCGACCCAATGCATTTCTTTTCATCTTTAACCGAGTCCAGGCCTGGGTGGCAGCCAGTGAATTAATAACAGATCAGAATTTCGGTTTGGGCTTTGTGGTCTTTGCTCTAAATTGGGAGAAGGCAGCCTACGAGAGCGTCACAGGGACCCTGAGTTACATTAAGTTAGAATAAAAAGGTAGTTTGATAGATATGCGGATCTGRGGTAATATGTTTCTGATGAAAGCAGCTCAATGCAGGGCCTCACACTCCAGTCACAAACACAGCTCCCTTTTATTGTGACAAGACGCCCACCGGTGATCCGTGAGTGACAGAGGTCTTCTGTTCTGCTCAGGCCGCATGATGTCCCACAGTTAGAGAGAAAAAGCTCGGAGGCAAAAAAAAAAAAGAGGCGAATCAAGTGAAAACAGACAGAAAGGAAAGAAAAAAAGACTAAACTGGGTTTTAGTTGTGGGAAATGTTTTCTTTTTATACCAAAGTTCCTTTTTAGACAAACACTCCCCACTTGTTTCTGTCGCATTCAAAAAGTCTCTTCCAGCTCGTGTCAGTTGTCCCGGTGCTCAAAAGAGCAAGCTGGGCATCTCCTAAAGGAGGAATTCACACTTTATCAAACAAAAAGTTCCATCTTCTTCACAAGCCATCCCCCAGAGTGCTCTACTACAGCATCACCTTCCRGTGAAAACTCACAAATCGCTTCAGAATGTGAGCTTTTTTGGTTCCCCTAAAAAAAGGGACTCTTGTATGCTCATACATGGATTTCGTCGTCTTCTTCATCCAGGAAAGATGAGAAGTTGCTCTCCTCCTCTGGCGGTGCACTGAATGTGGCGCTGTCAGTATCTCCCGTGTAATTCTMATAGTTTGGTTTCTCATCCAGAGCGGCGGAGCCAGAACTGGACATGGAGCAGCTGTCCAGGTGCAGCATGTGTTTGGGTCGGACCTCAGGGGTGTACTCTGGAGTGTACGGACCCTCATCCTCGGCCCTCAGGTCTACAGAGCTGTCTTGATGCGTGCGGGCCTCCTGGATCGACTCTGACGCGTCGCCGTTTTCCTCCATCTGCCCGTGTCCGTCCTCGTCCTCCTCGCTCTTCGCGCCGTCCTCTTCCTCACCGTGACGGCTGAGGGCTGGTGAGGCTCGGCCCTCGCTGTTCTTGCCTTCCTCGAAGCCGAGATCGTCCTCTTCCTTCTCCATCACGTTCAAGATGTCTCCCAGCATCGAGGGTCCCAGGTCGACGTGGAAGGACATGACGGACTCGGCGTGCTTCATGCCACCTCCGCAGGGAACGACGCCCTCCGGCAGCTCGGTCAGCTCACCGAAGCGCCGCTCCTGCAGCTCCAGGAAACTGGTGGCTGCGGCCGCACCGCCGCCGTCCATCTCCCCCTGCTGCTTAAACGGGCTTGATGACAAACTCTTTGACACCATGCTGTTCCCCGTGCTTTCATCGTTGAGGAAAGGCAGCGACATGGCATTTTTCACATACACGGGGGAGACTTCGGAAACAGTTAGGTTGTTTTCCCCCTGKTCGTCCACTCTGTTTACCGACTGGGAGCGCTTGCTGCTTCGAAAGGTGCGCAACAAGAGGCCGGGCCGGGGGGATCGAGGGAAGGATTTGGTCTCGGGGGTGGGTTCCCCTGAGTGTGAGCTCAGAAAAGAAGTGTCTCCAAAAGCATCGCCGCTGCGGCCCACGTGCATGGTGTGGCGAAAGTCCCCTAAAGGAGCACTGATCATCTCCCTGGTTAAGTCCATACGGGAGCGCCGCTTCGTCTGGGCAGAGGAGGCRACTAGCTGCTTTAAGATCGGCATGGTGGCTGATATTTTTTCCCAGTTAGAGGTAGTCCACAAAAAAGGTWGTTACGATCCTTGACAAAAATATCGATGTTCCTCAACTCCAGTCAGCCTGGGAACCTGAAAATTTGAAATGGAAAAACAAAAATTACACAGAAGCTACACAGAGAAGAAAACTGCTTGAATCAGTTGCAGTGATCTTATCCAATGCATCACATTACATCGCTAAACYTTTTTCTTAAAACCCACAAAAAACATTTCTAGGAATTTCTATTATTCCTCTAATTGCAAGAGCTGAAGCGGTCGAACAACTCTATAATGATAAGTTGTGCTCAACACATCATCTGGGAGATAACCAATAAAATGCATTCAATATATGTAGGAGCGCCACAGGATTTCATTTCCAAACGGTTTAATAAGCGAGAGCAAAACACCAACCACAGGCAGACTCTAATCAGATTAAAAATATATAGCTGAGGACTGGAAGGAATGTTTACTTCTCATCGCACACAAAAAGATCAAAATTTATAACCGGAGATGAAAAATCAATTTCCATTCTGGGCAAAAAGGTTCACACAGTTTTAATTTGCTGTAATTTTTGCTACATTAAAASCGGGCGATGAATATACACACCAGCTCAACAGTCTAATTCCACCCAATTAGYTTCATAATTTATTGGTACTGAAAGGCTCAAGATGTTAAGCCCTCAGACTTTCCACTGGTGATCATGACTTTTTTTGATAGAGCTCATTAGATGGACCAAGACTAAGCATGGAGAGAAAAGACCAGCGTATCAATTCAAACAATTGTAAGATTGAGAAAAAAAAAAAAAACACCTTCAGCTGAGACGATCAGGTCTATGAACTGTAAGAAGTTAGTAAATTCAGTTTTACATCAAATCSTGGCTCTGAAATTTGGTTACATTTAAGTTAAGACAGTAAATTAAACAAAGATTAAGACGACTAGATGCATGTTTGGTCCATTGCAGAGTTGTAAAGTAACTAAGTACAAATATTTTTTTACTGTTTAAGTAGAAACATTGGTAAGCTGTACTTTACTTGAGTAATTATTTTTCAGCGTACTTTTTACTTTTATTCATTACATTTTCACACAATTATCTGTACTTTCTACTCACTACATTTTAAAAAAAATAGGTAAGAAGTAGAAAGTCGTTACTCCTATTTTATTCTGAGTTARTACCTAAAAAAATACTATCCTGATAAATTGTGTCTCCTGGATAGAGTGAATTTAATTGTGGTTGGATGAGAAGTATAAATATATACCATTCTGACACACTATTAGCTTGTACACAACCCATAACAGCTGCACACTGTTAGGAAATATATTTTTTGGAGAAGTCACCTCCCAATAAATGTCATTTTGGAAAATCTAACTGCTCACTTTTACTCAGTACTTTTACTTTGAATACTTAAGTAGATTTTGTGTCAGAAATTTACTTTTGATACTTAAGTACAAAAAATATCAGATACTTTAAGACTTTTACTCAAGTAATATTTTTAGAGAAGACTTTAACGTTTACCAAAAGTATTTTTATGATAAGACGTATACTATATATATATATATACTGTACTTTTACTCAAGTATCACTTTGAGGTACTTTATACAACACTGGTTCACTGTACAAACTGTTGTACGTTGACTTGTAAAGTATGTTATACATGATTCAGCTTAGAAAAAGTTTTAATAATGCTAAATATGTTACCTCAACGTGCATGTGCATCTCGATATGCAAGTTTGCAAGCTTCAAAATTTGCATAAAACACTATAAAGTACCTTGAAAAATAAAGTATAATGACAGATGTGAGGATTTGTGATCAACATGATGAGCGATATTCTGTYTCCATCGTCTTACAGAAAAGTGTTTAAGCCTTTAAAGTTTTGAGTGACGGCTTATAGAGAGTGTTTCTACATTAGTAAGAGCCCAGACAGAGGAAACCACACCGCAGGTAGCGAGTCAGACACACTCACTTCCTCCWCTTCAGGTGCTGCACAGAAGGACAAGGCCAGGGTGTCTCGTTAACTACACAACCCAAAAAAGCAACGTAAAAGTACACATAAAAAGAACACCGTCATGGTGGTCTGCAAGATGAAAATGAAAGCATTTTCTCCAGAAAAAAAAGCCTGACTTCAGGGTAAAAAATTAAAACGTCACAGAAATAGGTCAGAAGAAATGCTTTGTCCTTTTTTAAATTATTTATTCACACCAACATATTAGTGATTAACTTGACATTGACTCTGGAGTCCAACCAAACAGGCTTTTAAAAGAAATCCAAGTTAAGCATTGTTTTTGGCAGAGGCACTGTTGGAGGAATTCGACTGTTTAAAGTGGCAGGCTCTTTAGTGCGTTGACCTCGTTCCTCTGTCTCCACCCCCTCTCTGATTTTACCAGCTGAGCCGCTGCTCCTCTTCCTGTTAATGCAGACACCTGCTTTGGTTCCCATAGAAACAATCTGCTGCAAGCAACGGTGTTTCCTGTCAGAAGCTGCAGAAAGCCCCAGGACTTGTCATCATACAAGCACAGCCTTTTGTCATTCACTCACTCCATCAGATTTGTTTTTTTTTTTTTGATTAGCCGTAGGCGGGAAATTAATTAAAATACAAAAATATCCTTGCAGTGAAAAACATAAAAAGTAAAAAAAAATCACAAGAGAAATTGACACATTTTCAACTACAAAAACTTTCTATGGACTTCAGGCAGCCTTACACAAAAACACGATCTTTCATCTTAAAGAAAAATGTTTGTGATCGAATCAGCCCGTTCTGTTCTCGTTATGAAAAAAATAACGAAGAGGGGGAAGTAACGATGGGGAAATTTTCACACCCTAGCCACACAAAAAGGGACCGTCTTTCTCTTGGGCTTCTGGGTGGCACAATCAAAGAAAAACAACTAACTGATCAAACGAGCAGCGATGGTGAAAGCTCGCCTCCCACTACTTCCCCCGCCCCCCACACAAAACACCCCCCCAAGGCCAGGATCAAGCTGAAGAATCCATTGGTGCCAATTTCAGGGACTTGCAAACCACCAGACAGGCTGCTCGTCATCAGCAAACCAGATCCAGACACACTCCAGATTCATGTTGTTAACATGATCTCCACCTGTGAAACCAAGTTCAGGGTGTTGGGTAAACTATGGAGAAGTGTGAATGTGCACATGTGAGTGCAAGTGGATGACAAAAAAAGGCAAAAAAAAGATTTAAAAAAAAAAGGGCCTGAGAAGGCAGCAGGAATCGTGGGAACCACTGGGTTACAGCCATGGGAGTGTGGGGGTTGGAGTTTTGACGTCGTATAAACAAACTGAGCATTCGGCTGTGCAGAGAAGACGGATCGGGGAACAGGAAGGGAGCAGAAGACCGAGGCACATCTGCATCCTTTCATTTTGACAGGGATGCTTTTCACAAGCTAACACGTGTTGCATTAAAGAAGACATATCTTGCTTTTAGATCCTTGTTTTTCACATTTAAAATTATTCAGTTGGGGTTTTATATAAATCGGAACTGAAAAGCTTTGGTCTGAATCTTCCTTATTGGAATGCCACAAGCCGTTCTTTCACCCTTTTTCTGTGGTGTCTCTCAGATCAACTCGTTTTGAAGCTGTCTCTTTAAATCCAAATGAGGAGCTTCACACCCCGCCCTTCCTCCAGCTTCCAGAGCTGTCTATTCTAGTTTGATAGAGGGGATTACTACAATATTGTGGCGTAAAAAAATGAAGTCCAGACCTTATTTGACAGTTCTGCTGCATGTTCTGTGATGGACTAGTTCAGAAAACATCACAGAAAATAAGAGAACAAAACTGAATGTGGTGAAAAATATGACCCAAAAAGAGAGAGAAACTAAATAAAATCTTTCTGCTCTCTTGGAGACACAACAAAATGCATTTAACAGCTTTTGCATAATACTGTATGTCCTCTTTGAACTCCAGGTCTCGAGCCGTCTGAATGATAAGTGTAGTTTACAAGGTTGACTGAATGACCTTGATGTGGCATTTCTCAGCAGCTGAGTGAAGGGCAGCAGTGCGCCCATGCATGGAAACTGTGATAAACATGAGAACCCTGGGAATAATCTCAAATTACCACCAGTGTCGCTTTACTTATTTTTTTACAGCCATTTGCAAAAATAATCATTCTGTCCATTTCCCAAGTTGTATACCAGCTATGGGAATGTAATGTTAGCTCTGTTTATGCATCACACGTCTATTATCCATCTAAATGCCTAGTTTGGGTCTACTAAGTTTTATTGCTCTAGATTTTAAGGTTCCTTTTGCCTCCATGTGGGTAAAATAGCCCTATTCCATAAAGGAGAGAAATAACAGCTCTTTGCTAATTGAAATAGATTATTTTGTTTTGACAGAATAATCTTATCATCCACTTTTCACTCGAACAGTAACCCCAGAAAAGCTGCAGTAAACCAGATGACGTGAAAAGACAAACATTGGCTGCAAACTTAAGCCATAAGTAACAAAAAAATCACTTCTATAATTACCATTCATCCGTTTAAAAGAAAAAAAATTGTATAGGTCTTCTGGACGGGTTCTTCTCTAATGAAACGTTTCGTCTCTCC